AAATATTTAAATAAAAGGAAATAAAGAATTTGAAAAAGGAAAATTAAAAGAAAAAGGAAAAAATAAAGAAAAAAACGGAAGGAAATAAATGAAAATAAAGAAAAATTTCTGAAGAAGGAAGGAAAGAAGAAGAAAGGAAGAAAAATTAAAGGTAGAAAGAATAAAGTCATGAAGGGATAGAAAGAAAGAACGAATAAAAAAAAGAAAATGAATATTTGTAAATAAGGAAAAATGAAAGAATAAAGGAAGAGAAAAAATTAGAAAAGGAAAAAAAATGAGGGGAAATTAAAAAATTGATTCGATTTCTTTTAAAAACCCTTTGGCAATGAATTATTTAAAGCCAGAAAATATTTTTAGATTGTAAGAATCTGTCTTGGGACCCGGAGATAATAATGGTTACGAGTCTTACTAATTAATCCATAGCTGGGGGAAAATAAATGAGAGGTAGATTCATACCTATTCAGAACTTGATAAACAAACAAAAAAATTAAATTGTGGACATAAACAGGGAGATCAGTTCTCCATTACAATCAATATATAAATTGATCCCTCACTTTGTAGCCACGCTAGTTTTTATACATTTCTATTCCAGAGACTGTAAATAAATCTAAAATACATACCAGTGTAGTTAATCAGTATTTCCTTGATTGATTGATTTGTTTTCTATGGCTTGTCAAGAAACAAGGAATTATAATGTAGATATAAAATGGGGGATCAATTCTAAATTACAATCAATATATGAAATGATCACTCACTTTGTTGACACGGTTGTTTGTATACATTTATATTCCAAAGATTGTAAATCAATCTAAATATGGTATATATTTTGAAGGGAAATAATTCATTGATTGATTTGTTCGTTTTCATAGCTTATCAACAAACAAGAAATTATAATGTGGATATAAAAAGTGGGGATCAATTCTACAGTACGGTCAGTATCTAAACTGATCCCTCCTTTGTTTTTGCTATTCCAGAAATGTAAATAAAATTTAAAAAAATGCCTTTATAGCTAATCAGTATTTTATTGAAATTGATTGGTTCGTTTTCACGGATATATATCAACCCTTTGCTGTTTATTTAAAATCCAGAAAATATTTTTTTATATTGTAAGAATTATTTTTTTTTTTTTGTTTTGTGAGATAATAATGATATTTTCGAGATACAAATAACCCTTGTTATATACCGTAGCTATGAACACTAATGGGTATGTCCCAATCCTCATTAATACTTTGGACACTATTGTAAGTGGGGGTAATGTGCTGTATAAGTAGTCCACCACTAGCAGTGGTTTACCTACATCACGTCGCTGGCGAGTATTGTATTTTGTTGATGTTATAAACATTACTCTTTCATTTTCAACCTCCGTTTTTTTTATTCCGCATTCAGTAACCCTTCCTTGGTTACAACACCAGTCTCACTAATTAATCCATATCTTGGGGAAGAAGAGGAAATTATGATGTGGATATAGCAGAATCAATAGTAACGCCGTACTCCGGATGTCTGTCACTGCACAACTATGATGAAATCTAAATTCGGTTGTATGCGTATATACACCCGGTTAGCGATGTTGACAGATTTGTTTTCTTGGCCGTGATCAAATCCAAAGATGAATAACAACAAATGCTATTCAAGACACTGGTTGGGAAATAGCAACAATACGATTTCTTACTTAACCGTGGAATTAATTTCCTTCGGCTGTGAGAAGGTGAACTGCTATCTTACTTACTTCCGGCCACGGAAAAAGGACCCTTACATTCACTTCATTCTAGGCGACTGCTGATTCACCACTATCGGCTCTTTCCTTACTGACTGCCGATGACTAATATGGACACCGTCTGGGGTCCCGACACCCCTATCCGTCTACTTTTGTTCCTGAAAAGAAGACCACAAAAAAGCTGGGTATATAGTCTGATTTTTCAATGGTCACTACTTTTATGATTATCTAAAATCACTAACCAAATTTTATGTTTGCCAATTCAAAGGCACCCTGGAGAGAGGAATCCTGAAAAAGAATCTATATATCTATCTACTAAGAATCCGTGAAAATCGTATTGTTACACAATTCTATATCGCAGTCAATATAAAAAATGATCTCTCACTTTGTGGCCACAGTAGTTTCTATGCATCTAAATCTAACACATGCCTCTGTAGCTAAATGTCATCTCATCATCCCACAACATGGAAATTCTTAGGCGCTCTTAAAATATAACAGAAATCCATATTCCAAAGTAAGAGCAGGTTACCAAAATATTAAGACCGCCAAGAAATGCTGCGACGAAAATGAAAATTTAAAAAACATTAGCGGCTTTGAAAGAGTCAATTTGATTCACCTATTCGAACTTGAAGTTTTCATAGGAACCGATGTTTTAAAACTCCTCCCTCTCTCTCGAGAGCTCAACGGGGTCATCCACAAACAGACTACTTCGTTCTCTCTCACAGTTCCTCAAAGTGTTGCTAGACGTCCGACTGCTTTTTAAGTCGAGTTCGAAATATTTTACCACTAGGCCATCAAAACAGCAGAAAAACTTTTAAATTTTAACGTTTTTTCTATACGAAATACTTCAGCTAGGATAGAACTCGATTCGTACTAATATATATATATATATATATATATATATATATATATATATATATATATAATAAAAAAGAAAGAACATTAAGATATATAATCCGGTGTTCTTATTGATATTTTTTTTAAAAAAAACACAAATCAATGTAAATTTAAAGAGCATAAATATAAATTAACTGATTTAAAATATGGTTTTGTTCGCTACAGGAATTAATCATGTTTCAAAAACCGAATCTACAAAACTTCAAATTTAATTATATAATTAAATTAAAAGCATTAGTTCTGTTTCATCTTCAAGCGAATTTTCGAATAACTTATTTTGAAATTTACTGAGTTTTAAAGGCACATACAATTCATAATTTTTTGTTTCCAAGGATACAGAGAAATCTGACCATTTAGACAGGGGCTGTAGCATGTTCATGTTGTAATGCTTTTAATTTAATTATATAATTAAATTTGAAACATGGTAATTCCTGTGTAGCGAACGATCAATATCTTAAATCAGTTAATATATATATATATATATATATATATATATATATATATATTACTTTAAACGTTCTTTTTAGTGAATATCCATATTTGACACTGTTTATTTTATTTAAATAGGAAATTCGGCACCGACGTCAGCATCATCGCTCACTGTTGTCCTCAATATCCATTTTTGTATTTTTTCATACGTTCTATACTCGATAACTATATTTAACTGTAAATATAGGACAATTTAAAACTATAACTTTTATTAAATAATATATATATATATATATATATATATATATATATATATATATATGTGTGTGTGTGTGTGTGTGTGTGTATGCTCAAATATAGGTCTATAAATGACTATGATGAAAAATGCAATTAATAGTGAGGTAAGAATTACCATTTTTTTGGGGGAATTGATGGAAGTTCTTACTTGAAAGAAGATAAAACAATGTCCGCGCTAATTGCAAACAAAAACGCAGCAAGCCAAAACCTGAATGAAATTAGACCAGACATTATCAGAATATGAAAAAAAAAATCAATGAAGAAGATCGACGCTGATTGATTTATCGATTTTTATTTCGCTGATTACTTGTCAAAGTTAATTTAAGTCGAATGAAACAGATTAGACCAGTCGATCAACACAGACTGCAAGCGCGCGATCGGCCGGAATTGATCGAAAGGGCTACGTCTTATCGATAATGGCTTTTGGCCTGATTGATTTTTAATGTGAAAGTTCGTCACTGTCATTTGAGAGGAAGAGTTTCGGAATTGAGCCAATGGAAGCAATTCAGATTGAATTGAATTGATAGACAGAAACTGATCTAAACAATGAACCACCAGATTTGATCAAACGACCAAAATTGATCAGTGTTAATCAAAACAGAGTCTAAATTGACGCTTAATTTGGTCAAGACTCGAACAATGTAATGTAGTCATTTGTAATGTAGCGATTTTCCAAGCGTAGCTTAGATGTGGCACAAGGCGGAATGTATGGGGCACCCAGTGTGGATCGAACTCACTACTCACTCGTAATTGCTCTAGCCAGACAAGCTTGCTAACCATACCACCGCCATGGGGTACCCAAAGTAATTAATAATAGTAATAGTTTCTACCCATCGAATATTTTCGCCTACAAGAGGACTCTGAAATCCCCCAAAACACCCGTAAAAATTGGGTTCGTCTTATAATACAATTGTAAAACATGTTTGTCGATAGGCTAACCTCGACCACAGTGTGATAACCAAAAACTTACATAAAAACATTCTCATTATCAAATAAATTGATAATAAAAGTAATAAAAGCATTTCTACCTCATCTCAAACATCGAGTTGTGAATGCATTGGAATATACTATTGTCAGAGTTAGTTTCTCCTTAATTCCGAAATTGTCACTAGGGGTCACTCTCCCTATACTCTAAATACTGGGCGACTTCTCGCCTCGTTCTCTTTATTTCAAATGACTACAATGTAAACTCTTAGGAGATCCAGTGTCTTCCCATTTATGGGAGACGCCCTGAACATTATACACACATACACGTACGTACAAACATTCACCAAAGAACAAACACAAACGTTCACACACAAATAAATATTATTGTCCATGTCCATTATAAAATTGTTTAGTTTAATACATATATATATATATATATATATATATATATATATATATATATATATATATATATATATATCGTCTTTGTTTGTTTTCTTTACATCTTCATTTGGACTTGGCTTGAGTCCGGCAATTTTCTTTTAATATTCTACCAGGAGTTACACACATGTTTCTAATACCACAAAACGCAAACATACACGGTCCACTTCACTATATAATCGTACATTATTGTACTGCTATTAGCGGTATTTTGTGATTGACGATGAAGTATAAGTAAATGGCCATTAGTACACCAGGCTATTTGTATCAGGTCATCCCATAAGTTCTGTCCGAATTTTGAATAAAGAAAACAAGTGACCAAATGTTACATTTAATTACAGATTCAATCAACAATGTATTTACCCTGATTATCTATGACTTCCTTCCATCTATTAACCAACTTACTAATTCCATTACTGTAAAATTCTTTTGGCTTTGATTCGAATAACTCACAAATGTCAGTTTTAACCTCTTCCTGTGTTACAAAAGCTGTTTCTTCCAAATGATTCTGTAAGCTACGAAACAAATGGTAGTCTGAAGGAGCAAGATCAGGAGAATAAGGTGGATGAGGAATTTTCTCTCAACCAAGTTCTTCGATCTTTTGTGACGGGATTCTTGCTGTGTGGGGGCGCGCATTGTCCTGATGAAACATCACCTCTTTTCGATTCACTAGAGCAGGTCTTTTTTTCCCTCAAAGCTTGGTTCAAACGCTCTAATTGCTGACAGTATATTTGTGCATTAATTGTTGCATTAGGTGGTAAGAATTCAAAGTGGATTATTCCTTGGCGATCCCACCAGATTGAAAGAAGAACATTTTGCCCATGAAGTTCCCTTCTCGGCTATGGCTAGGGTCATTCCCCTTTACCAAGCCACTGTCTACGACGCTTAACATTTCGATAAGTGTTCATAATACCTCATCTCAGAAATATAGACAGCTGAAAATTCCTCGGTTATCGAACAAATTTTTGGTTTTTGAACAACATTGCCAAACTGAGTCGACCGCCGTGTTTTATACATTCGTGTGTTGTGCCGTGATTTTTTCCCAATTTTATTGTACTGTGGCTCTTTTTCGCTACATTGATTCCGATTGGAAAAATAATTTCGGTTTACGAATATTTTCGGGTTACGAACGGCCATCAGGAACGAATTAAGTTCGTGAACCGAACCGAGGTTTAAAAAGTCCCATTCATACTGTACTGCCATATCTGGTCTGGTGCTCCGGATACATATCTCGAGATTCTTGAGAAAATCCAAAGAAGGGTCTGCAATATAATCGATATTGACCTGGCATCTCGGCTTCAGTTTTTTTTCCCCCACCGACATCATAAAGCTTCCCTCTGTCTTTTCTATTTTCATAGTAATTGCTTTTCTCTACTTTTATCTACCTACGGTCACATGTTGATCGTTAAGTAACGACGAGTCTGGTCACCATCTAGATGGGTGATCGCTTGGGAATATCAGGGGCTGTAAGCTTGGATGTACGGGTGGTGTAATGGATATTGGCTAAAAATTGGAAATCAGAGGGTTGAGTTCAAATTCTGGTTGGGTTCGTTATATTCACTTACGCACAAATATCATTGGGAAGGGCATGAATCCATCTCATAACTCCCAGGCTAATTAGTAAAACCTGTGTCACTAAATCATTATTATCTACCCCACCAAAATAACTTCTTACAAACTAAAACTATTTCCTAGCTTTAAATAACCTGCAAAGGGGTTGATAAACCGTAAAAAATAAATCAGTCAATCAAAAAACAATTAACCGTGGAGATTAGAACGAGTGAAACTAAAAAATGCAGTTCATCTGAACACTTTTTATGGAAATAGCGATAGAGGTACGAGAGGCTGGTGACGTTTTAGTCTGTGAGGAAAGGAGTTGTAGGGTTGAAAATATTTCATCACCCATAAGGACGCGGTGACGCTTTTGGACTCTATCGAGAATGGAAAGTAAATACTGGACAGCTCCATCCCATATATAACAACAATACTCCATTTTATGGTGCTTGTAAATGCAAAGCATAGCAAGAGGAGTCAGGTACTTCCTGGAGCGGTACAGGGAACGGACCATTTTTCCAGCATCTTTAACGATGGATTCATATGTACGATTCCCACTTGATGTCTGGATTGAATAGGAGTCCCAATGGGCGTTCAAGTCTTAAGGCTTCTCTGAGGGAATATTTATTTATCGCGATTAGTGAAAGTTCTGTATCCGATGGACAATGATACAATAGCATTAATTTGTTTTTGGAGGTAATGAATTTGACCAGCCAGTTTTCCTTCGATGAGCTCTTAGAGCTCAGTCAGAAGAGAGATCAGCTGCCAGGCTCTGGTCATCGTCCAGAGAATAGATCAGTTACCAGGTTCTGGTCGTCGATCAGAGGAGAGATCAGCTGCCAGGCTCTGGTCATCAGTCAGAGGAGAGATCAGCTGCCAGGCTCTGGTCATCGGTCAGAGGAGAGATCAGCTGCCAGACTCTGGTCATCGGTCAGAGGAGAGATCAGTTGCCAGACTCTGGTCATCAGTCAGAGGAGAGATCAGCTGCCAGGATCTGGTCATCGGTCAGAGGAGAGATCAGTTGCCAGGCTCTGGTCATCGGTCAGAGGAGAGATAAGCTGCCAGGCTCTGGTCATCGTCAGAGAAGAGATCAGTTACGAGGTTCTGGTCATCGGTCAGAAAAGATCAGAGATGCCTGGCTCTGGTCATCGGTCACGGAGATAAGCTGGGCTCTGGTCATCGGTCAGAAAAGAGATTACGAGGTTCTGGTCATCGGAAAGAAAAGAGCAGCCGCTGGTCATGGGTCAGAGGAGTGTTCAGCTGCCAGGCTCTGGTCATCGGTCAGAGGAGAGATCAGCTGCCAGGCTCTGGTCATCGGTCAGAGGAGAGATCAGCTGCCAGGCTCTGGTCATCGTCAGAGAAGAGATCAGTTACGAGGTTCTGGTCATCGGTTAGAAAAGAGCAGCTGCCAGGCTCTGGCCATCGTCAGAGGAGAGATCAGCTGCCAGGCTCTGGTTATCGTCAGAGAAGAGATCATTTACCAGGTTCTGGTCATCGGTCAGAGGAGAGATCAGCTGCCAGTTTCTGGCCATCGTCAGAGGAGAAATCAGCTGCTAGGCTCTGGTCATCGTCAGAGGAGAGCTCAGCTGCCATGCTCTGGTTATATGTCAGAGGAGAAATGCGCTGCTAGGCTCTGGTCATCGGTCAGAGGAGAGATCAACTGCCAGGCTCTGGTCATGGTCAGAGCTGAGTTCAGCTGTCAGGCTCTGGTCATCAGTTAAAATACGGATCATCTGATAGGCTCTGGTTATCGGTCAGAGGAGAGATCAGCTATCAGACTCTGGTCATCGGTCAGAGAAGAGATCGGCTGCCAAGGTCTGGTCATCGATCAGAGTAGAAATCAGTTACCAGGTTCTGGTCATAGGTCAGTGTATAGTTCAACTGCATGGCTCTGGTCGTCGGTCAGAGGTGAGTTCAGCTGCCAGGCTCTGGTCATCGATTAGAATAGGGATCATCTGATAGGCTCTGGTTCTCGTCAGAGGAGAGATCAGCTTCCAGGCTGTGGTCATCGGTTAGAACGGGGATCATCTGATTGGCTCTTGTCATCGGTCAGAGGAGAAATCAGCTACTAGGCTCTGATCATCAGTTAGAGAAGAGATCGGCTACTAGGAATTGTCTGTTGATGGATGAAATTTATGGTCAATGTAATATTGATTAAATTAATACTCACAACTTTTGAGTTTATGAATTGTTGGCACCAGTCATGTTAAGAATAACATCCTCCTCCCCAAATTTATAGACAAATCATACAGATGCATGCTGGGATTTCTTCTTAGCCAATAAAATAGGCCACTTCTCAGTTTTATCTGACTTAGTTCAGTTCTTTCTTGTCTTGAAGTCAGAATGCTGCGATCGCTTGTTTGTATCCCCTTTTGTTTCAACACCAATTCTTAGTTTGTGAACTTTTTGCCTTATTAATGATGCTTTGCCTTATTGCTGTTACGCTGCCTTGCATATATTTTTCCTCAGTATAATTTTTGCCCTCAGAGAGATCAGCTTATCAAAAAGAAAGCCGGCTATAATTTACATATGTTAAGATTCTTGCAGAGTATCTGACTCTGAGATCTATCATATTTATTTTTAAATGTATGACTTCTGAAACTGACATTTTTCCTTTTGGGAGATTTTACATGTGAGATCTGTCCAAATCTGTTTTCAGCCTGGAGGGGGTAAACCATTTGAATTAAGGGTACACTGACTGTTGCAAAAAATGCATGCATCCCTCGGCCACATTGTTCCTTGCAGTAGTTCTCTGCAATCTGTTCTTTCTTGTCTTGAAATTAGAATGCTGCGATCGCTTGTCTGTACCCCCTTTTGTGCGTCAATACCAATTCTTAGTTTGTGAACTTTTTGCCTTATTACTGTCACTTTGCCTTATTGCTGTCACTTTGCCTTACTTATATATTTTGCTGAATATTATTTTTGCCGTTATTTTCGTTCTTCTGTTATTGTTTATTGCAGACTTTGTCTTTTTTTTTGTTGGTTCCAATCCCCACGGGGAATGGATGCAAAACACTTTCCCTTCGCAATTTTATAGGCAGAAGCCCAAAAATGCATGCCGGGATTTCTTCCTAGCCAATAAAACAAGCCGGTTCTCGTTTTCATATGACTCAATCCCGGTCTGTCTTGTCTTGAAATCAGAAATTTCTCTTCAACTCTTAGTTCGTGAACTTTTTGCCATATTACTGTTGATTTGCCTTATTACTGTTAATATGCCTTGCATATATTGTTCGCTTGCTATATTTTATTTTTTGTCCTGTTCTTTTCTTTTTATTTATTTATTGCAAACATTGTCAATTCTGTTTGTTGTCATTTCTACCATTTATTTATATATACCTTTAATTCATTGAATCTGCAAAATGTTTTACAGTGAGCAACTGTCTTGTTTGAATGACACATTTGAAGAAGTTGGAGAAGATTACTTTTTTGTTTGGTATTTGTCAATGATTTTACTATATGTTGCAAATGCAAATTTCGCCACATTCTGATTTCAGGTGGGACAATGGCCTAGTGGTAAAAGCGTTGACCTGTCAATTCAGGCAGTGTGTACTTGCAATCAATGGAAACGAGCCAGCAATGACAGAACAGTGCTAAATAAAAAGGGAACTCGACGATATTCCGAGTCATGAGCAGTGGAACGAGAACAGTCTAACCCCATAGATTAAATAAAGGGCTCATTTCAGAATTCCCTCTAGATTAACCCAGATCAATATAAACCTGATGAAGTCTGGTACGACGGCTGAAAAGTTACGACGAAAAGAACAGACGTGAGGAGAATATTCCGAATATACCCCCTTATGCAAATTAATTGAAACACAACGAATAATTCCGTTATTATTTACTTTTTTCGTATTTTTCCAATGAAACATGCCCCAGTGGACATGTTAGTACTTCAAATGTCCATTCCACGAAGTCATTCTTTGCAGATTGACCACAGATTCTCGATTGGATTTAAACCAGGAGAGTTTCCAGGCCAGTCTATAGAAGTTTGATTTGCTCACTGGTAAGGCTTGCCAGTGCGTTCGTGCAGCGTTGCAATTTCCGTGCGCTTCCTTGGAGTAACATCCATTGTAGACAATGGCCGTGGGACAACTAATCGACAGTTGAGACAGTAGTGTCTGGACGTGATAAAAATCTGATGCAATCACGGATGACGCAATATTTTTCAAGGCCAAACAAATTTTATCATATCCTCCAAATATTATATTATTGCACACGACTGCAAATGACCTAATATAAGGAAAAAATAGAAATCGATGACACTCTAAAACTGACCGTATGATGAAACAAAGGAAACTAAAGCGGTTGTTTCAAGTCCTTTGCACAAAGATGTAAATAGCGTAAATAATGATAATTTCTCATCCCAGAAATTCAGACTTCTTTCAAATATTGTTTATTTGGGCAACGGTTCCAGCAAGTTCAGAATACTGACAAGTTCCAAGAATTCATTGAATTTAAAGTGATGCCTTTTGTTTTGATTGAATACTCTGATACGTGCATAACAATTTAATGGCTGTATGGAGCTTGTGAGCAACGATGAGGTCTTAGAGAGGATGCAAACAAGGAGCAGGCTTATACTTAACATTAGGAAGAGTCATCTGGAGTTTCTGGAACACTAAATGAGGAAGGTGAGCCTGGAGAATCTGGTACTCACGAGTCGAATAGAGGGAAAGAAAGACAAGGGAAAACAACGGTGACATACCTAGCGGGATTAAGTGGATGGCAGGAAGCGGAGGGAAAGAACTTGTTGAGAACTGCAAGGGATAGTGGGGGGTGCCATGATCGCCTACGTCCTGAAAGGACATGGAGAATAAAAAGAAAGAAAAATAAATAGAATCCTTCTTTACGGCAGCGAATGTTGGACGATTTCCTCAAAGATGAAGAAGAGATCCGAGGCGACAGAGATCTGGATGGATGCTAAGGATAACATGGACCGAACATGTGAGCGATGATGAGGTCTTAAAGAGGTTGCAAACGTAGAGGAGGCTTATACTTAACATCAGGAAGAAGCATCTAAAGTTTCTGGGACACATAATGAGGAAGGAGGGCCTGGAGAATCTGATACTCACAGGTCGAATATAGGGAAAGCGAAACAAGGGAAAACAACAGGTGACACGCCTGGCAAGATTAAGCAAGTGGGTGACAGAACGTGGTCTGGGGGAGGAAGCAGATGGAAGGAGGTTGTTGAGAGCTTCAAGTGATAGAGGGTGGTGGAAAGCCATTATCGTCTACGTCCTGAAATGACATGGCACATAAAAAGAAAGAATGTTCTCATATATGATAGAATAGGCATTATCGTGTCGAGGACGTAAGTTGAGCCTTATATATAATATTAGTCAGTTATGTGTGTGAGTAAAGATGCGGTCATAGAGAGGTTGCAAACAAGGACGGGGCCTATACTTAATATCAGGAAGAGGTGGCTGAAGTTTCCTGGACACATAATGAGGAAGGACGGCCTGGAGAATCTGATACTCACAGGTCAAATAGAGAGAAAGAGAGACAAGGGGAAACAACGCATGGCATACCTAGCGGGCTTAAACAAGCTGATGACAGAACGTAGTCTGGGGGAAATAGCAAAGGGAAGGGACTTGTTGAGAGCTGCAAGGGATAGAAAGAGGTGGAGAGCCATGATCGCCTACGTCCTAAAAGGACATGGCACATAAAAAGAAAGAGGAAATAGAATTGGTTCTTCTTTACAGCAGCGAATGTTGGACGACTTCCTCAAAGAAGAAGAGACTCGAGGTGACAGAGATGTGGTTCTACAGAAGGATGCTGAGGATATCACGCGTGTGAGCAACGTTGAGATATTACAGAGGATGCCAACAAGGAGGAGGCTTATAATTAACATCAGAAAGAGGCAGCTGAAGTTTCTGGGATACATAATGAGGAAGGAAGGCCTGGAGAATCTGATACTCGCAGGTCGAATAGAGAGAAAGAGAGACAAGGGGAAACATACGTGACATACCTGGCGGGTTTAAGCAATTGGATGACAGAACGTAGTCTGGGGGAAATAGGACTTGTTGAGAGCTGCAAGAGCAATGTTGAGAGCAATGATCGCCTACGTCCTAAAAGGACATGGCACATAATGAAGAAGATAATGCCGCTATATAATTACGTATGAATTGGGATCAAATATCGTGGGAATTTGCTTGGGTTTTGTTTGTTTAGCGGCATATCAACATCTCTATGGGTTATTTTATGCCGAATTCTAAATATTTTGTAAACAATTTCATGACTTCAA